GAGGGTTGGACTAGATGACCCCCAGAGGTCCCTTCCAACCCCTACCATTCTGTGATTCTGTGATTCTGTGACTTCAGGCATGGCAGGGTAGAGTCTGTCTGCTGTACAGTGGGACCTGTGTGGGTGAGGGCTGCTCAAAGCTCTGGATTACCCCCAGGACACTTGCAAAGGTTGCTTCTGAAGGACATTGAGACAGCTTTTACCTGATAGCAAAGGACTCTTTTTTATGTTTTTCCACTCTTTTCTGGCTCGGTGTGAAGTGTGAGATGGGAATTTATTTCTCTAGGCCACTCAACTGCGATCTAGTCAGTTTACCCACTCGTCTGGTGAGAGGTGTGGATGTAAAATGAAGGCCACCCTTTGGTCTCTTTTGTGTTGAGATAAACTCTGCTTTCTTTGAAACAGCTGTGGTCAGTTGCACTCTACTTTATGCTGTGAACTTCACAAGCACATGACCCTTGCCCATTTTCTCTGAGCTGTCTGCTGGTGTCAGGGGCTCAGTGGTCTGTCACAACAGGGGTTAGAGAATAGAGGTTTTGGTTTTGTTTGGGGCTTTTTTTTGAGAGAGCTTAAGGTCTACATATAACCTTTGGGCTGCAGAGGGTGGACCTCAAGGGTGAGTCCCTCACTTGTGCAAGCTACCACTAGTTGCTTGGCATATGGTCCCGTGCACCTGGCCCTGCCTATTGAACAGCTCAACTTCCAAGGCTACACTGATACAGATCCTCTGAAGTGGTATAGAGCACTAGAGGAGAACATGGTATCAACCTCTAGAGTGCTGGTTCCTCCACACTGATTATTGAAGGAGGCTGGACAATAAACTCACTTGTTTTAGATTTGAAGTTACAAAAGTCTGTGCTTGAAAGAGCCAATTCCACTGTGCGATTTTGTTCTGTTAGCTGAAGTGCTATCTCTGACAGTGTCGCCTCATAAAAAGAAGACTTGTTTCATTAAGCTTGATCAGGACACAATTAGATTGTTACTCAAAAACTAAACTACTGACAAATTTTCTGGGTTTTGTAGCTGCTTACAAGAGAGGTAATGTTAAATTCATAAAATAGACTTTATTTCAGCCATGTCCTTGTCTTAAGCAGGCGGTTAATGTGGAGGTGCAAGTGCCATTTGGTAGAGGAATAGAGCAATTACAGTTCTCATGGTTGTGCTAATGACAAAGAGGTTCAGCAAGGCTTTGCCACCGATATAATCAGCAAACCAGATGTAGGAGCCAGGAGAAGCTGCACAGGAACTGGAGGAAGGCTTAACTTCTTGAGAATCTTGTGTGTCATGGAAGGAGGAACTGCTTGGCTTGCTGCTTCTTGTTTTGCTTCTGTACTTGGAGAAAGCCATTAGTGGTAACCACCAAGGTTTTGTAAAACACATCCAGGCCATGCAAAAGACATGCCAATGTAAGAATTAGGTCTTCTTAGGATGCTATTTTGCAGCAGAGAATCTGGTGTAGTATTAATTTCAGGAAACTATACTCTTCTCAGAAAGATTGCTAGCATTTCAGTAAAGCATCATAATCACTTGCCTACCCTCCCCAGCCCTTTGCCTGTCGCTTATAAATTCTTTTTTCAGAAGGAAAGCTGTCTCCTGGAGGTTATCAAGCTTCTCTTCAAGCCCGCCTTGAGGGCATCTTTCATCTGCTGGTTCCTCAGGCTGAAGATAAAGGGGCTCATCAGAGGAGTTATCACTGTGTTGAGAAGGGCCACTGCCTTGTTGTAGGAAACATAATGACTTGAAGGCTGCACATACATGAAGATGCAACTGCCATAGCCCAAGATGACAATGGCGAGATGAGAGGAGCAGGTAGAAAATGCCTTGTGCCTTGAGGAAGCTGAGGGCAACCTAAGGATGGTATTAATGATGTACAGGTAGGACACCACTGTCATGGCCAGTGAGCCAAATAGGACGATGGATGAGACCGTGCAGGTGACCAGATCCACAACCCATGTGTCTGCACAGGCCAGCTTCATCAAAAGCACACTGTCGCAGAAGAAGTGGTCGATATGATTGGCATTGCAGAAGGGCAGCCTGGCACCCAGGATTGTGGGGGTAATAGTGACCAGGAAGCCCGCAGTCCAAGAGCCCAAGAGGAGCTGAAGGCAAAGCTGACTGTTCATGAGTACGGGGTACTGAAGAGGGTAACATATGGCCACGTAACGATCATAGGACATGACAGCCAGAAGGACAAACTCAGTGCAGCCCAAGAGGAAGTAGAAGTAACATTGAGTTAAGCAAGCTGGGTAGGAGATGACTCTGCTGCCCAGCAGCAAGCTCCCTACTGCTTTGGGTATGACGGATGTTGCGATAAAGATTTCCAGAGCGGAGAGGTTACCAAGGAAAAAGTACATGGGCCTGTAGAGGTCTCTTTCAGAAAGAATGAGGAAGACGATCAGCAGGTTTCCAGCCAAGATCACCAAATAGGAAGCCAGGAAAGTGATTGCTATTAGGCGCTCCTGATGGTGAAGGGAGGGGAAGCCCAGGAGGAGGAAGACTGTGACTGTCGTACAGTTCAACATATCTGCATCCAAGCTTCAGTGAGAAAGGGAGGCTGGTCAGTGGATGTAACAATGCCTCAGAAGGTTAAAAGAAGAGGAGACTTAGAGAAAGGACACAGGAGGATGAGAAAATAGACGAAAGGGGATGCTCACAAAAATTCTGGAAGGAAAACAGAAGACAGGAGAGGAGAATCAACTTGTCGCCAGAAGATACCCTGTTACACAGCAGTAGCAAGCTTGGGGCGGGGTGAGGATTAGAGCAGGAATACGCTCTAAGCAATGTGAATGTTATTACAGATGAGTGACTTACCCAAGCGTCCCCTTACAGTCAATGGAGAAAAAACAAGCGTCTCTCAATCTCTCCAATCCATTTTAAGCATACATTTCAGGATGAGAAAAAATCCACCCTAGGGAATAATGAAACCCCTCTGCAAAGGGACCTTTACCTTTTGATGAGGACAGGAACGGGGAGAAGGCAGCAGGAAGATGGTGACGAGGGAGGGGGCATCTGGGAAATAAAGGTGACAGTTAGATAAGAGGGAGTTTTTATATCCTCGGAATGGTTTTATTTTAAGGGAAAATGGAAGCAAAACAGAGAAATGAAAAACTGCTGAGCATGCAGGACTGTCTTTCCACCCAAGTTTGAACTTTGCCATATAGGGCGGTAAACTTTACAAAAAGATTCTTTCTAGGTCACCACAAACTTCCTTGATGAAAATGGGTTTGATAAAACTGTGGGCAAGAATAACGGGGAAAATGATTGTCAGACTGGCCATCAGCAGGAGAAATAAAATAAGAATAAAAATCAGTCCCAAAAAGAAGAGGGGAGTAAAAACCAAAAAAAACAAGTACAGTATTGTAAAATGAGCAAATAAATAAACTAGTAGAAAGTCATGAGGATGTTATACGGTGTGGTGGTTTTTTTCATATGAACAGTGGAAAAATGCTGCTTATTCTGATATGGAGTTGGTCCAGAATTCATTATCTGAGGTCTGGAAAAATGTTGAATTCTCAGTGCATTCCGTCTTTCAAGAGGGTCTGACCCTGCATGGACCATGCCCTTTCTGTCCTCCTGGGTTTTATTCACAATACTCACACATTCCTAAAAAAACTGAGAAAGTTACTGCTCTGTGTGGCTTAGTTGAAACTGGCCAACAAGTTACAACCAAAGGAAGGGGCAGAGTTCCTGGCACATAGAGAGAGTTTGACCAGCAAGGTCTCGATTCCTGAGAAATAATACAGGCAAAGGAGGAAAATCAAAGGAAGGCAGCAGGTAGGAAGGTTAGAAACTCAACAATAACAACAAAATCAATAGAAGTTGAGGTGAAAGGCAACACAATGTTTACTTGCATCAATGTGTTAAGTGCAGAGAATTCCGTCACAGGGAAA